TGTCCAAAGAACAAACAATGAGGCTCACCTTACCAAAGGTCTGAACAAAGAACAAATAGAATCAGGCTGTACATGTGCTGTAACGTGTTCTCATTAAGCCAGAAAATCATGCATTGTATAGAAGCCAAAAAATATTTCTGAATGCAGAGATAAACAAGCTGAAGGAGACCCTTTACATGCTTAGAACAATCCCAGCTCAGGATACCTGTGTCAACCAAAATTATAGTCTCCATATGAGTTAACCACAGTATGAGAAAAGAATTCCTTAATAGAATAGGTTGTGAAATACAATAAGATAAGAAAATGTCAATGTGTCAATTGAAATTATAGATCCAGGATGTTTGTGTTTCTTTTATCATTAGCATGACTACATGTCCATAAAATACCAATAAGAAAAGTCCCATTATTCAAGATAGTGTCCAGTTCAAGGCACCTTGTCCTGGGCAGTCATAAATAGAAGAATGCTCCTGGTCAGCTTCATCTGTCTTGTAGTTGCTGACACAGAAGAGGGCATTTTGAGTTCACTCACAGAGGAAGGCAGAGCCTCTCTGTTATGCCAGAGCACACAAAGCATTATGGTAGGTTAAGCTCAGAGGGGGCCAAAATGTCTTTCTCCTGATTTGCCAATCCTAGTTTTAGGCCTTTCTTAGGTGATGGGGGACTCAAAATGGTTTACAATACCTAGCTTTTGCCAGACTGCTTTCCAGTTTTCCTAGCGATTTTTTATTGAATGAGTCCCTACCAGAGGCTGGGGCCCCTTTCCCTTTCTTTAAAATTCGGGAGCTGCCTTCCCTTCTTTGAGGGGGCAGGGGACTATTGGGTACACAATTCTACAAAGGATAGATTGGTTTTGCTTAGGTTTTTTCTGTTTGTTTTTTCCTTCATGTTAAGGGAGGGGAGAAATATGCCGGTGACTTGGTATTGGAAGAATGATATGTAATTTATCTTTCAACAAATACATATTTTTGAAATACTTTTTTAAAAAAAAGGAAATAAAATTTTACTTCAAAATATAAAAATGCATTAGACCGCCAAGCTCCTCCCAGCTCTAAAGCCTAGGGCCAGGCGGACATCTTCCATGAGCCTTCCCGAGGCCGATGGGAGACACCGTCAGGGTTTCAGCTTCTTATTCTCATATTCAATCTTACTCAAACCACGGCAAACGCGCTGCCCCTCAGACAGCAGGGCTGCAGCTCTGAAAGCCTAGCGGGCCTCGTGACAGAGGACGAGCCGCAAAGCCCCGCCCCCTGCGGCGTGACGCAACTGCACGCAGCCGTTTAGCGTCACACGGCGGCCCGGCACGTGGGAGTCCTCTCGCTCGGCCTCCCGGCTGGTGCCGCTTTCCGGCTCTGACGGGGCGGTGACCGAGCACTTTGCGACAGTTGCTTTCCGACCACGCTGGGCCTAGGCCATCAGAACGACAGAATAATGGCTTCGGCTTTAGTAGCGTGTCGCGGAGCGTGCTTAGGCCCATTCTATGGGCCCATGGGCCTCGCCCCGGACTGGGGGAATCGGGGCGTCTCCACTGGGGTGAGGCGAGAAAGAGCGAGAGCTGTGTGAAGTGCGCGGGGCTGGTGGGGACGTCGGGAAGCAGCCTGGGGAGCCGCGAGGGAGCCCCAGGATTCCGTGGGGGGGGGTCTCCACAGGGCTCGTGTCTGGTGGGGGCTTCGGGAGTGGAATGCTGGGATAGCGGGGGCGCGAAGCACACTGGGAACTGGGGGGCTTGGAAGGGTAACGGGAGGGGTGGCTGGGGCAGAACCCCCACCCCGGAGCTGTGGGACTCGGTGGGGGGCGGTAGAGGGGTCTTGGGCATGGGTGCAGAGGGTAAGACTTGGAGCCTCCCAGGCTCATAAAGAGCTTAGCACAGTGCCTGGCACACAGTAGGGCTGTATAAACGTTAGCTATCGTTGTTGCCGCCAGACCACTATCATGGCCGTGCAGTTTGATGGGGGCGTGGTCCTCGGAGCTGACTCCAGGACAACCACTGGGTGAGTCCTCCCTGTGTTTATCTGGCCTGGGGGTGGGCTTGGACACCCTCTTCCCCGATCCTGCCGGGGTGGGCACAAAGGAGGCACTGTGAGCTGTGCCCCGCGTTCCTTGACTGTCATTCCCTGTCCAGGTCGTATATTGCCAACCGAGTCACAGACAAGCTGACCCCTATCCACGACCGGATCTTCTGCTGCCGCTCAGGTTCGGCGGCGGACACCCAGGCCGTGGCCGACGCGGTCACTTATCAGCTAAGCTTCCACAGGTGGTGACAGGTTGGGTGCAGGGGGGCAGGTGCCTGAGTCCTTCGAAGAAAGAAGGATCTGGGGGTGAAGAGAGGGGCTCACACCTGAGTTAATCGAGCACCAATGCTCCTTACCTTGACCCTCATAGCATTGAACTGAATGAACCTCCCCTGGTCCACACAGCTGCTAACCTCTTCAAGGAGATGTGTTATCGTTACCGAGAGGATCTCATGGCTGGTATCATCGTTGCTGGCTGGGATCCCTATGAGGGGGGGCAGGTTAGATGCCTGAATTCTACTTATGAGAGCCTAGCTCAGTGCAGTAATATTCTTCAGTCTCAGTTCACTGCCACTTTCTGTATGCCATCTGAGTCTATACTTTGGTCTCCCTTCTCGTTTCTTTCCCTTTTTTATTTCCAGTCTCTCTACAATTGAACCTTCCTAAATGATTCTCCCCACCCTCCCTCCCGTCAGTGTCTGTATGTGCTAACTTTTCCTTTCCTGTATCTCCCATTTTCAGGTATACTCAGTACCCATGGGAGGTATGATGGTTCGGCAGCCTTTTTCCATTGGGGGTTCAGGTAGCTCCTACATCTATGGCTATGTTGATGCCTCCTATCAAAAGGGTATGAATGAAAAGCAGTGTCTTCAGTTCACTGCTAATGGTGAGGATGTTGACTTCTAGGCATGCTTATTCTCCTCTTACCAAGTCACGTTTGGCTCCTGTATTCCTCCTTTTTTTCCCCCCTTTAACCTGCTGTTTCTCTTCCCCAGCTCTTGCTTTGGCCATGGATCGAGATGGCTCAAGTGGTGGTGTAATCCGATTGGCATCGATTACAGAGAAAGGAGTGGAACGGCAGGTGCTAATGGGGGACCAGCTTCCCCGATTCCCTACCACCACCTATCCTTCGGCTTGAGATCTGCTGCCTCCTCCCTGTTCTCTCTATACCTCCCCCTCTACCTAGTGATAAGCCATCCTCAAATATACCCAAGATTCAATAAACTGTGGGTCAAGGGAAGAGTTCATATGTCTGGTTCTTTCTCCTTTCCCCACCGCTTTTTCAGCTTCTGTAGATGTCTGTGCTGGGATCACCTTTACAGGCTGTGATCCCTGTGGTGAGGGGAGGGGTGGGGGGAGGTGAGATTCCTTTGAATCAGAAGAATAAGCATAAGAGGTAAGAGGAACAAGAGTCCTACCCTGGAGTGGCTCTCATTCTACTCAAGTTGGGGAAAATGGGGGTTTAGGTACTTCCCAAACCCTTCCAGTCTCAAGTCTATTTTCAGGCCAGTAGTCACCTCTAAAAGCCACACAACGTCAGAACTGGAAAGAACTTTATCAAGTCAATCCCTTTTGTATAGAGGGGGGGAAACAGGCTAAAAGTCACAGGTGGAGTGGAAAGAACAACAGGTCAGGTTATTCAGTGGATAAAGCACTGGGCCTGGAGTCTGGAAAACCTGAGTCCAATTCTAGCTACAGGCACTAGCTGTGTGACCCTGGGCAAGTCACTTAACTTTTCTGTGCTTCAGTGTCTTCATCTCTGAAATGGGAATAATGGTACCTCACATAGGGCTTAATAAGTGCTTCTTTCCTGCCCATCCCCAGTTGGAGTCAGGAGATAACCTGGGTTCAAAACTCACTTTCAACATTTATTAGCTGTGTGACCATTGCTCATCTGGATAGGGACAAGGACTGGACCTGTGCTTTCCCTGGTTACAGGAAAAATATGAGAACATTACCAATGCAGGTTGGCACTTTCTCTGCTTAGTCTTTGCCTAGAGCGCTGAGGTTAAGTAACACCCAAAACCACAGCCACTGGGTGTCACAGGTGGGTCTGTTCTGAACTATTTAGTAATCTGTGCTACAATTGCCTCCTTCCTCATTAACAAAATAGAGAAAATAGTACCTACGTCAGTGGGTAGTTAGATGAGATCAAAAGACTACCTAAAAAAAAATTGCAAATCTTTACATGTTATATAAGTGTCAGTTTATCTCAGGCAACTCTGTGCTTAAAAGCTAGTTGGTCCTATGAAGAGCTAGAGGTCCTATGATCCCATAAACCCTATGCTCTCTTCCCCTTTGAGACTTGCAGGTTCTAAGATTCCTAGCAGAGGTTTGAGAGGAGGTGCTAATCCCCAGGACTCCTCCTCTGAGTACTAATTCACAATAACTACCAACTCTGGGCCCCTCCCCTACCCCAGGTTCTCTCATCCTCTATTCCCCTTCTATCTACTGTATGTATTTCCCAGTATTTAGGAATATATATAGTAGGGCAAGTTTGTCAATTTCAGGACTAGTCAGTGTGCCCAGAGGCGAACTTTGGGGTTAAGCTGTAAACCCAGCTTGACAAACCCACATAGCCCTGACATCAACTTATGGAGACCTTGGGCATATGAAATGAGGGGTGATGTCCACATCCTCCCAAATACAATGTCCCAGATGATTCACCCAATAGCTATGGGAAAGGCTTCCTGGAATTGAGCAGGAAACTAGTTGAATTGAGTAGGAGGAAGGGAACTGTACATCTTTACTGGTTAGGAGATTTGTCTTGCCAGATTCCCTCCTTATCAAATCAACACTTTTAAGTTTTTTCCCCTATTCAGTTCAGCTGCGTTATCCCAGCCCACTCCCCATCTTCCCCCTACCCCTGTATTTCTTCCTGCAGGCAACACCTAGTTTAGTAGCAGTGATCACTAGATTCAGTCTCCATTTTTGTCACTCAGCAAAAGTGATTTCTAGGGGTGCATCCGTCCCAAAATACTGACACAAACCTGGCTACCAATGAATAGATTTAATGAGAAGTGGGACATGTAAGGTCAGGATTTGCCGGCCACCTAGGAGTTGTCAGTCCCCACCAGACTTCAGTTGGTAGAGTCGTTGGCCGAAGTTGTGGCGTGCAGCTGGTGACGAAAGGAGAGTCGAGCTTTGCTGCTGAAGTAGGCACTGTCTCCTAGAGTGGGTCCTCCTCCAGGCAGGGGGTGCCCCCTGACCTGATTAGAGTCTGGATGGGAAGCCAAAGTCAGGGCTATGGGAAAAAGGGAGTAGGAGAAAAGCTTAATCAGCAGCTGCCCTTTCCATTCCAGAGATAAAGTTGGGGTGACAAAGGGGAGACAGAAAGGAGATAGGGAGTTGGCCAAATCTTTTGCCTTCTTAAACTACAATGTCCTCCCTCCACACCCACACCTGTATATTCTTCCCTCTTCTTTTTAGTCCCTCCTCGTCTCTAGTAGTACTCAGTACCTGTTCCCCTTTGGTTCCCTCGCTGCCTCCGAGGACCAGACCAAGGAAAACACCATTGCCCTTTCAGACCCATCTTGATAGTGAGAGAAGGGGGCAGAGGAAGGAGTGTTGGGCTAGAAGGGAGGGGGCAGTTTGACGTTAGGATGGCATTTCTTTTGCCGGCCCCCCAAACCCCCTTTCAGTAGCCAGACTACCACTTAACCTCAGACAGGCGCCTCAGTGATTATAGGCTCGAGCATAGATGGGGAGGGGGAAGGAGGGAGGGGGAAGGGGGTTGGCGGAGGGCATAGCTGGGTTAGATTAGGCATGGGGGAGGTAGAGGAAGAGGGTTTCTTCTCAACTCCCCCCCATACCCACCCACCACACACACACACACACATTTAGGATTTTCTTTGGGGCCATAGGAAGTAGGGAGGGTTGCAGGGTGAATGTAAGAAGACAGAAATTTAATTCTCTATTCGGAGACAGATACCCAAAGACACAGAGCTATGCAGGCAAGTGCTTCCATTCTTCCCTCCACTCTGTGCCTCACACCCTGCTTCCACCCTACTTCTTCGGCCCTCCCCACGAGATGGAGAAACAAGATGAACAAGAATGCTGAGGAGGTGAGGCTTCAGGGAAGTGTGCCCCGCCCCCTCTGACTCCCTGTCCTGTCCCGCCCTAGAGGGTGAGGCCATTGTAATCATCCCCATTTGCTCTCCGGGCCTGGCCCGGCCCAGCTCGAAAAACTCGGGATGTCTGCTCATGTTCCTGATCCTCTGGCATCCCGGCTCCGGTTCTGGCTCTGAGTGGTGAAGGAAGAGAGGACCTGGGAGGACTGGGGCTAGGGGCCCAGCTGCGCTTTCGGAGCTTCGGAATTTCCCTCCCTTCCCAGCTTGGGAGGTAGAGCGAGACTTCCTCATTGATTGCCATACCCCACCCTTTCCTGATCCATATCTCGTGTTGACCTCTCATGCCTCTGAAGCGCCAGCCTTAGGCCAGGTGCACTTGCCCCTCAGGGACCCTCCCTGAGCCTCCTCCGGCTTCCCCTTCCCCCACCCCTCTTTCTCAGGGCCCCTTCTCTGCCCCAGTTTGAGACATCCTGTGCTGGGCTCAGTGCCTTCTCTCTCATTACTGTCCCCTTCCCCTCTTCCCAAAGAGAATTAAAAGAATGGGTACTGGGGAAGTGGGTGTTGAGAGCAAAGGAGAGATTTGGAGGTGGAGGAGGGAGCAGAGATGGATCAGCAGGGGAGACCAGAGTTTTGGATGAGAGGTGTTTCGGGAGGGGTGTCAGGGTCAGAGAAAAGGGTCAAGGTCAGGGGCTAGGGTTTTGGTTAGAGATAAGGGTCAACAGAAAAGAGCAGAATTCTGGTTAAGATAGAAGGCCATGATCAGAGATGAAGGTAAGAAATATCCAATCAAGGTCAGAGATGGAAGGGTCAGCCTTAAAAAGGGAGGAAGTCTTGAGGGAAGGACCCCACCTTCCTAAGTTTCTTGGTCTACTGTCCAGTATGATGTCAGCCCCAGAGGGAATGTTCCCTGGAGATGGTGGCCTTGACTCCAGCCAGCTCCAGATGGAACCAGATGAGTTGGACACCTTGAAAGAAGGGGAAGACCCAGGTAATCTGGAGGGGGAGGGGGGAAATAGAGGGCATAGCACAGAAAGGACTGGTTCTACCTATAGGGAAAAAGAAGGAGAAGCAAGAGACCTGAGGGTGGGGACCAAGGGAATAAATACGGAGGTTAGGGTACTAGGTTCTAAGCTCCTCCAACCTTCCCACACACATACACACAGCTGACCGGATGCATCACTTCTTGACCATCTATAATCTTCAGCCCCTGAGGAATCATCCCAGGATTTTCGCCCCTGGGGTCCCTGTTATTGCACAAGTCATAGGCACTGAGAGATACACCAGTGGATCCAAGGTTAGGGGGCCAAATTCGTGGACTCTTGAGTAAAGGGTGGTTGTAGATGTGGGTGGGGGAGGGACTCACTCAGGGAACCTAGGAGAGAAAGAACCTGACACCCAGTACTTGGACCCCAAAGGTGGGCACCAGCACACTTTACTCTGTCCGACTATCTCATGGTGATTTCACATGGACAACCAAGAAGAAATTCCGAAATTTCCAGGAGCTTCATCGAGACCTGCTGAGACACAAAGTTTTGATGAGCCTCCTCCCTCTGGCCCGGTGAGAGGAGGATGGGACTATCTTTAGGCTCCCACAAAGCTCAATCCTTTTTTTCTTTTTTGTTTTCCACTGTTCCCACCCATTCCTCCTCTTCCATCACCACCACCACCCACACACCCACCCGTACACATTCACTCACACACACACACACACACACATACCAGGGCCCCTGATTCCATAACAGACTCTCAATCAGGGCTGGATGTCCAACTCTACTCCCAGTATATTCTAGACTCCCTACCTCCAACCCCTTCATCCTCCTGCCTCTACCACCAAAAAGGGCCTCAAGACCAAAGCCATGGTAGCCATGTCCTGCTAACCCTCCTTACCTAGAAATACTGGCATGGTTACTTCTCTCCTCAGGGACTCAGTGGTGGCTTGAGTTCAGTCTTTCCCCAGGCCCTATCTGATTTACAATCCCCCCCTTTCTAACCTTCCAACCAACAGGTTTGCTGTTGCCTATTCCCCTTCCCAAGAAGCTGCTCCTATAGCTGAAATCCCTTCTTTGCCCAGAGTAGGTTCTGAAGGCTCCTCCAGACACAGGGCCAGCAAACAGGTATGGTCTGGTTACTTTTCTGGGGGTAGGGACAGGGACAGGAAGGGGACAGTGACCCTGGCAAACCTTGGCATGGGGATTTCTTAGAGCCACATCTTCCTTTCTTTCTTTTCTCACTCCAGAAATACCTAGAGAATTATCTCAATCACCTCCTGGCCATTTCATTCTACCGAAACTACCATGCCATGGTGAGGTGGCCTTAGTCAGAAACCTTGATCGCTGAGGGCATTGGAGGCTGGGGACCAGATGTGGGTCGTGGGTAGTGGGTATTGGGAGGCCAGAAGCCTGGATCCTGAGGGTGATGGGAGTTGGATTTCTACAAAGCCAGATATTTGGGGTCCTGAATCTGATTATTTCCTCTTCCTCTGTTAGACAGAATTTCTAGAGGTCAGTCCGTTCTCCTTCATACCTGACCTTGGCCCCAAAGGATTGTGAGTAACCCTGATATTCCCACAGCCTTCAGTACCACTAACTTTCTGTGTGACTTTGGACAAGTCATTTCTCTCTGGGCCTCAACTTCTTTCTATATAAAACGAGGGGGCTGGACTGATGATATTCTGAGGGTCTTTCACCACTAACACTCTTGGTTCTACCTCAGCTCCGTTTTCATACCCTGTTCTCACTACCCCCCTCACTATTCCCCAACTACTCATGCCCCATTCCTTCCACTTTGGACAACTGGGTCAGTATTGGGAACTCCTGTCTAGTAGTACTCAATCTTTCTAACTTGTGGCCCCCACAGGGAAGGTTTGATCCGCAAACGCTCAGGGGGTCACCGAGTTCCTGGCTTTACCTGCTGTGGCCGAGACCAAGTCTGTTACCGGTGGTCAAAGAGGTTAATTGGGGGGCCAGATGCCTGGATCACTGAGTGGGGGGAAGACTGGAGAGTGGGACAGTTGGTTGGATTGATAAAGAAAATGGCAACTAGGGAGCCAGACATCTATATACTGGAGATAAATACTTGATGGTAAAGTTGGGGTGGGGTGGGGCTGGCCAGATTCATCACTAATCACAACTCATTCTATTATCCAGATGGCTGGTGGTGAAAGACTCCTTCCTGCTGTACCTGCGCCCAGAGACAGGCTCTATCTCCTTTGTCCAGCTTTTTGATCCTGGATTTGAGGTCCAGGTTGGGAAACAGAACACAGAAACTCGTTATGGGGTCCGAATTGACACTTCTCACAGGTCAGAGACCAGTGCTAACTGGTACTGGAGGAGGAGAGTGGGAGGGATTGGAGAACATGGTCACATATCCAAGGAAGTGGGATGACTAAAAGAAGAAGCAGCATAGATATTAGGAGGAGGGCTCAACTGAGACAGGGGCAGGATGGATACAGTTGGGGAAAGACTGCAGCCTGGAGAGGAGAAGAGTAAGGGGAAAAAGGTGGAAAAAAGATTTTTACTCCTTTCTTTTATTTGTCCTTCCCTAATTCTTACACTGTTATTCTATCCATCATATTCCCAGTCCCAGACTAGTGGTTACTGCATTAAGAAAAGTTGAGACTATTTTCTGAGCCTGGTCCAGAATAGGGGGTGGGGAGTCCAGAACATCCTCATGCCCACATTTTGGATGCCCCCTGTATGGATACAGGGACAGAGAGTAGTAGGAAAGCATTAGACTAAGATTCGAAAGACCCTACTTCAGTCCTGTCCCTGTTCCTTACTGGAATGACCTGGGTCACTTAACTTAGTAAGAGGTCCCTTAAGTTTCTCTGAGCCTTAACTCCCATAAGCTCTGGAGTTGTATTTAGTTTTTAGTCATGTCTGACTTCGTGACCCTATTTGGGATTTTCTTGGCAAAGATACTGGAGTGGTTTGCCATTTCCTTTTCTAGCTCATTTTACAGATGAGGAAACTGAGGTAAACAGGGTTAAGTGACTTGCCCAGATTCACACAGCTAGTAAGTGTCTGGGGCCAGATTTGAACTCAGGTCTTTCTGACTGGTGTTCTATCCACTGTGCCACCTAGCTGCCTGCAATTAGAAGACCTAGGTTCAAAACTTGACCCTTCAACAGGTAACTTCCTCTGTCTGGCCTTCATTTTTATTATCTATAAAATGAGATTAGTTTATATTATTTAAGTCATAGGATCACAGACTTCGAGGTGAGAGAGACTTCGTATATAGTCTAACTCCTTCATTTTTTATAGCTTAGGAAACTGAGGCCCAGAGGTACAAGAACTTGAGCAAGGTCATGGAAATAGTAAGTTAAGTGAGAGGCAGGACTTGAATTCATGTTTTTTTCACTCCAAGGCTGGTGCTTTTTCCACTATTAAAGAGTCTTTAAGGTTCCTTAGAACTCTTAAGTCCAACAACCTGTCTTCCTCATTTTTGAAAGATGTTTGTAAATGGTGGTGGGAGGGGGGATAGCAGGAAGAAGAAGGAGAACTATGTTGTCCTGTTTGCCATCAGAGACCAAGGCAACATTTCATTGAATAAAGAGGAGGAATTATTCAGGGGTTAGAGAGGATGAGAGCTAGAGCTGAGAGGATGAGGAGAAGGAGTTGGGGGTGTCAGCAATTGAACCCTGTTGTTGTCACCACCATAGGTCCCTAATCCTCAAGTGCAACAGTTACCGGCAGGCTCGATGGTGGGGTCAGGAAATCACAGAACTAGCTCGGAGTCAGGGGTGTGACTTCTTACAGCTACACAGACACCAGAGCTATGCCCCACTCAGGCCAAGGACCCTGGCCAGATGGTAAGACCTCCCTTTACCTGCTCTGACCTTTCTCTACTCCTCCTGACCTCCTCCCTCTATCCCTCTCTAACCTTCTTCTACCCTCTCTGACCACCTTCTACCTCTAATTTCCCTCTAAATTCCTGCCACTTTCTCATTCTTCTCAGGCCATCTCTGATCTGATGTCCTGTCCTTTCTCTGTTCTCTCTATTGTCTCTGGAGTTCCCCTCATCTCAGATTTCTCTGACTTCCCTCCAGTTTCTGATCTCCCTCCACTCTGGCCCATCCGCTCTGACTTTTCCCTGTCTTCTCTGTCTTCTTGGTCCCTTATCATGCCCCAATCTGTCCCCCTCCATGACCCTTTCTTCTGCCTTTTGGTTCCTCTGATTTCCATTCTGCCCCTCACCCTTCTTTAGGTTTGTAAACGGGGCAGGTTACTTTGCAGCTGTGGCTGACGCCATCCTTCAGGCCCGGGAGGAGATTTTCATTGCAGATTGGTGGTGAGTAATGGTAGTTAGAGGACTTGGAACACCTGAGTAGACTCCAGGAGAAGAGTTTATGATGGTCACTGGTACAAGGAGCCATGGGGCCTACAAGATTAGGGGAGGGTTGGTTAGAGTCCAAGATGCCAGAAAGTAATGGGGGAGGGCCCTTGGGACTTCCAATGTATTGACTTGTTCTATGTCTACCTATCCCCAGGTTGAGTCCTGAAATTTATCTGAAGCGTCCAGCCCATTCTGAGGACTGGAGATTAGACATCATGCTCAAGAAGAAGGCAGTAAGGAGGGAGCTGGGGATGGCACAAAGGGATGAGGCCAGGAAGAAAGTAGACAAGGCCTAAAGAGGGGGAATGTCTATAGAATGAGGATGGGGTAAGGACATCTGGGACTGTCCAGGCAGTCAGGCTTCAATCAGTCACTGCATAGTATAGGAATCCCCCACAGCAAGGGATTCATCTCTCCTCAAATTTTCTTAGGGCACTGTGTCTGAATTTCTCCTTTGCCCCATCACATTCTACCAAATTCACACTTTGGATATGGGGTCAGAGCACCTGGATGTGAATTCCAGTTCTGCTGTTTACTACATGTGTGACCTTAGACAAGTCACTCTTCTTCTTTGGGCTTTAGTTTCCTCTTTTGTGGTATGTGATTAGATCTTTCTGGTATTAAATCCTATTATTCTATATAGTTAACTCTCTACAAGATTATTAAGTAGGTATGGAGGAGAGGGATTGTGTCATTTTTCATCTTTGTAGCCCCATCACCTAAGGGTGTCAATGGCACGTTCATTGTAGGAGCTTAATACACATTTATTTAATTGAATTTATTGGAGGCAGATTTTTGGCGGCTCTGCAAAGGGGATAATAGACAGGAGAACCAAAAGGTGAGGACAAAAGCAGGCAAGGGAGGCAGTTTCCAAGGCATTTTCCATTGACAACTGATTCCCCTTTCTGCCCTCACCAGGAGGAGGGTGTCCGGGTTTCGGTGCTGCTGTTCAAGGAAGTGGAATTGGCCCTGGGCATCAACAGTGGCTACAGCAAGAAGGCTCTGATGCAACTGCACCCCAATATCAAGGTGATCTCCTATCTCTTGCCCTTCTTCTTCTCCCCTGACCCTCATCACCTGGCTTCCCCATGTCCACTCCTCCTTTCCTTGACCCTCAAACTTCCATTTTCCTCAAGTCCTCATGTTGTAATCATTATAGTTCACATTTTGATAGTGCTTTAAGCTTTACAAAATGTTTTCCTCAAAACAGTGCCATGGCAAAGAGGGTATAATTATTATTTTCATTACATAGGTAAGAAACTGATTTTCAGTTAGGTTGAAGGACTTGCCCATAGTCACGGTCTTTTGACTACAAGACCAGTGCTTTTAGCACTGAACTGTAGCCTTTTCCACTTTTCCCCCAAAGCACTCTTTGAGACCTTATCCCTTCCCAAACCTTGTTACCTTTTCTTTTTTCCAGGTGATGCGTCACCCAGACAATGTGACACTGTGGGCCCACCATGAAAAGCTGCTAGTGGTGGACCAAGCTGTGGCCTTCATGGGAGGGCTTGACCTTGCCTTTGGCCGATGGGATGATCTGCATTACCGGATCACTGACCTGGAGGGCTATACTGGGACAACCACCCCACAGGTAAACTTTGTTTGGCATTCCCCTCACGCTGTAGTACCACTTCTCCTCTTCATCCCAGGGTGATCCCTGACCCTGAACTTTCTTCTTTATCCTTGAGGCCCAACCCCACCTTTTCCTTCCCAACAAGGACCACCCCTATTCTCAACCTTCCTGGTTCTCTGAGATCCCTTCTGATGTTATCACATCCTGGGGCCCATATTTCTGGCTTTCTGCCCCTTTGGGATAGGGAGTTTGGAGCAGAACAATATTTCCCTGTTTTTCATCTCTTATTCTCTCTGTCTTTCCCTCAGTCTGTGAATATGCCCTTCTCCCAGTGTCTTTGTCTTATGTTTCCTTGTTTCTGTCTGCCTATACCTCTCTCCTGGCTTTGGCTCCCATGACTCTGCCCCTGGGCTGGGTCTTTCATGACCCCCTGGGCTGGGTCTCTCCCCACACAGCTGCCCACCCCATGCTCAAGCCTTCCCGTTGTCCCTGACCTCTCCCACAACCAACTGTTCTGGCTGGGCAAGGATTACAGCAATTTGATCACCAAGGATTGGGTACAACTGGACCGGCCCTTCGAGGGTGAGAGATTTTTTTTTTCCCCACAGCCCCAAGACTGAAACTCAGATCAAGACAGTTTTCTCTGTAATAAGCATGATCTCCTAGTCCCCCCTGGCTCTGTGTTATGTGACTGTCTAGAAGCTGGCTTTAGGGCTCCCTATTTGATTTTTACCCTTTGGGGTCCCCCAGATTTTATTAACAGGGAGATGATGCCCCGGATGCCATGGAGGGATGTGGGAGTCGTTGTCCACGGTTCAGCAGCACGAGATCTTGCCCGACATTTCATCCAGCGTTGGAATTTTACCAAGGTTTCCTTTAACCTGGGGAAAAAGTTGGTCTGTGGGAGGAAAAGAGGAGGCTGATATTAATCTCACTGACTCTCTCTAACTCCAAATCTTAGACCACCAAGGCCAAGTACAAGATCCCTCTATTCCCATATCTGCTGCCCAAGTCACCCAGCACAGCCAACCAGTTACCATTCACCCTTCCTGGAGGGCAGTGTGTCACTGTACAGGTGAGACAACCCCCTTCCCCAGAGTGTGAGAGCCTTTCCTCATACCCCTATTCCCTAAGTGTGAGGACCTTTTTTTCTTCCTTCTTGTCTCCTAGGTCCTTCGATCTGTGGACCGTTGGTCAGCTGGGACCTCTGAGAGCTCCATCCTCAATGCATACCTACATACTATTCGGGAGAGCTGCCACTTCCTCTACATTGAGGTAGGTGGGGGTAAAGTGGGGAATTTGGGTTTTGTTTAAGAACAGGAGACCAGAATTTAAGAAAGATTGATTATTGGGATGGGGATGACAGAGATTGGGAGCTAGAGAATTAGAGGAGATGGACCATATTGCTTATTCCTTAGTCCTCCCCCTCTGCACCCCATGTCCTACCAGAATCAGTTCTTCATCAGCTGCTCAGATGGACGGACAGTTCTGAACACAGTGGGAGATGCTATTGTGGAAAGGATTCTGAGAGCCCACAAGTAAGACAGAAAAGGAGGTGCTCTGAATGGGTGTATGTATATAAAGGGACAGGATTGGGTCCAAGAAGCCTAGGAGGTCAGAGGTGTCCAGCTATGACCCTACACCCCTTTCCACAGGCAACAGCAGCGGTTTCGGGTATATGTGCTGCTCCCCTTGCTTCCTGGGTTTGAAGGTGATATCTCTACAGGCGGTGGAAACGCTATCCAGGCAATTCTGCACTTTACCTACAGGTCAGATACATGACCACCTGCCCTTCTTGCCTTTTAATTCTTCCCTTGACTTCTCCCTCTCTTTAGCCTCTCCCTGTTCTGTCTCTTGACTCTGCCCCTCTCCCCTTGATTCCTTCCCCGCTTCTCAGGATCAGCTCTTTCCCCTGACTGCCAACTCTCCCTGTGACTTCTCCCCCAGGACCCTGTGTCGTGGTGAATATTCAATCCTGCATCGGCTCAAAGCTGCCAGTGAGTGATGGTAGTTGGGGAGTGTCCTAGATGGAAGAGGAAGTATTGAGAGAAGCTTGGGTAGGGGGAGTGAAGTATTTTTCCATGTAACTGTGTGTTGATCTTATATCAATCTAGAGGTAGTCCTGCTACAGCAACTGAGGATAATAAAAATAATCATAGGACCACATAGATTTAGAGCTGGGAGAAACCTAAGAGGCCATCTGGTACAATTCTTTTATTTTACAGATGAGGAAACTGAGGCCTAGAGAGGTTAAGTGACTTGCCTAAGGTCACATGAGTACCCCATGACAGAGGCAGAATTTGAACCCAAGTCCTCTGATTCCAAAGTTAGTGCCTTTTTCATGGTACCACGCGTCTGAATAAAAGCTCATGTTTATAATAACCCTTTATAATGTATGATCAGATCTCATCTGCTCCTCACAAAAACCCTGTTAAGTATGAAGTACAGGCATTATCACTCCCATTTTGCAGGTGAGGAAAATTAGACATGGAGAAATTAAGTGACTTGTCCAAAATCACATACATATCTGGTAAGTAAGAGAGCCAGAATTCAAATCCCACCCATCTGACTCTTACTCCGGTGTTTTTTCCATTAAACCCCTACGACATCAAGGTTAGGAATAAGGTGTTCCAAGGCAAGAGAAGAGGAGTTGGATGAGAGGTGGGCAGAGCTGTCTTTGCATAAGCTAATCTTTGCCCCTTTCCTCCATGTCTCTTTCCCCTTCCTGTGCATGTACCAGTGGGTACATTGTGGCGAGACTATGTGTCAGTGTGTGGGCTCCGAACCCATGGAGAGCTGAGTGGAAAGCTGATATCTGAGCTCATCTACATCCACAGCAAGTTGCTCATCGCTGATGACAGGACAGTCATCATAGGTCAGGGAGCAGGGGTTGAGGCTGAAGATGGAGGGAGGAAGCTCAGTGGTCAAAATTGGGGAAGGGGATGGCTAGATGGGGAGTAGCAAGGGATTGGAGGAATTGGTGCAAGTAGCATTCTGGAGGTCTGGGTAGAGGCAGAGAGAAAGGAAGAAACATGGTATTTAGGATGATGAGGATGTGGGGAAGTGAGGGACAGAAACAGAGGAAGTTGGACAGGAAAAACTAGGGACTGAAGGAGTTGGAGAGATAGGACTGGGAGTGGTAGTAGTGGGGGCAAGGGGTGCTTCTTCAAATTGCCTGCTTTAATAGACAGCTCCACTCTAGGTTCAGCAAACATCAATGACCGGAGCCTCCTGGGGAAGCGAGACAGTGAGCTAGCAATGCTAATTGAAGACACTGAGATGGAACCATCACTTATGGATGGAGAAGAGTACCAGGCTGGGAGGTTTGCCCTCAGTCTCCGGAAACACTGCTTCAGGTAGGGGCTGCAGAGGATCCTGTCTCCTCAGGGAGGGGTATGTGGATAAATCTGACATTCCCCTTTCTCCCTTCAGCATCATTCTGGGGGCAGAGTCTCAGCCTGGACTAGATCTCCAGGATCCTGTCTGTGACACCTTCTTCCAGCTGTGGCAGAAGACAGCTGAGAGAAATGCCAGCATCTATGAGCAGGTTGGGATACGATGGAAAGGATTGGAGGATTGTGTGTGTTGGGAGACAGGGTAGTACAACAGAGGGTTCAGGTAGATGTGGAAAGTCTACAGATGGGCTATAAGAAAAGATGGAATCATTTTTTTAGCCAACATCAAGGACCTGCAACAGGCAGAGCAATAGGGGAAATTCTTAGATAAGACAGGATCCCTTGCTGTTGTGAAGCTTATAGTGATGAGCACCAAGATCAGTAACTATAATAGTCTTCATTTTAAAATAAAGGATTTTGAGAGGTACACAACAGAGTGAGATACAAGAAAGAAGACTTATGCACAGAAATCAGATAACTTTTCTCCAAAAGGGAAAGGAAAAGAGCATAGTTTGGAGGAATAATTGGGAGAAATATTTATTGGGGGTGAGGGAATAAAGGTGAATGGGTCCAGGGGATAAAGTGGGACATTTTCTATGTTGGAGTTAGGTGGGGGAAAGATAGAGAACTGAAAACTCTGGGGTGTGAGTGGGGGGCAGGACATTTGGAGTTTGTCAAGGAAAAGGAAGTTATGCAACAACTTTACTTTTATCCCCTAGATCTTTCGTTGCCTGCCATCTAATGCAACTCGATCACTTCGGGTGCTTCGGGAGTATGGCAGTGTGGAACCTCTGGCCACTGTTAGCCCTGAGATAGCCTGCTCCGAACTCACTCAGATCCAAGGCTACCTTGTCCACTTTCCCTTCAAATTCCTAGAGGAAGAGTCACTGTTGCCTCCACTGGGTAGCAAGGAGGGTGTCATACCCCTTGAAGTATGGACATAGCCTAGAACCCCATTTTTTGAGCGTGGGGTCCAGTGAGAGGAGAGCTATGGGAAGCCAAATTCTGTACCTGGCACCTTTTCTTTTTCTCTCTTCATGCTCAAATTAAGGACAAATCACTCACAAATGAGGGGATGCACAAACGGGATTCACTTCCCAGAAGGAGAGAGGGGAAGGCATGTCTAAGGGAGAAACAATATGAAGGCAGGAGACCTGGGTTCTGGTCTAGCTCTGAAACTGACTTAGCCATGGGACCTTGGACAAGTAAGTCACTTGCCCTTTCTAGGCCTTAAGTTACTTCCGTCATTTCTCAATGAAATCTTCATTCCATTGGGTTCAGTCAGATGATTCAACCCTGACATTCTGGGAATCTCCACTCACCCCAGGAGCAACAGAGGAGAGGGTTGTGGGGTGGAGTGGAAATGATGCAGAGAGATGCCTCTCTCGGATCCCATCTCCTACTTCTCTCAATCTCCTGAATCAAGTTCAAATCCGTGCTGCTGAGGAAAAAGCTACAGTATTCCAGTCGTCTTTTTTCCCCTAGCTCTGATCATCTGCTGCCAGGGTTTCAGATTTCTGACCCTCATCAGTCCCCTAGCTCATCCTACATCTAGGGCTGAACAAACTCACTTACTTACTATAGACTGCTTACAGACACTAATTGAGCACATAGATACTTTATGTCAAACACATATTCATTTTTATAAATAAAGGTGTTTTTTAAAGTAATTTTTGAAGTAAAAAAAAATGGGTCTCATTTTGTGGGATGGAGGCAACAAGGACTGCCCTCTTTCTACCTCTCCTTTACCTCCAACTTCTCTTTGCCCTTCTCTGGCTCCACCTCCGCACTTCTCTCTATCTTTGTGAATCTGTGCCTTCAGGATCTGAGTCATCCGTTTTCTGGGGAAGAGGAAAGAGCTGATTCAATGACCCCTAGTGGAAAAGAAAGGGAGGGGCTAGGACAAACCGCAGTACTTAGAGAACAGAACTTGTGAACAGTAGACAAAATTGTAGAGGAGGGCAGGGAGAAAATCTCTGGTTCTCCACTCTCTCCAACACCCCTGCTCCCTCCCCTGCCATATCCACACAGTCAAATCAAAGAACTGGGAAAGACTTTGCAAGAACACCCTGGTCTCCCAAACCACTCCACTCCAAGTGAGACGCTGCAGAGAGATGGGACTTACAAAATCCTGTTCTCTTGGATGGGAAAACTTTTTAACGGCCTAGTCTGTCTCAGGTTGCAACAACATCCCTATCCTCTCATAATTTCTCCTCCATTTCTTCTCAGGTATGATAACTTAGCCCTTTTTTTATCAGCCAAGATTCTCCTCAGACCACATTCACCAAAAGTCCCAGAAGGTAGGGACCTAAGGGATGGATTAGAATGGGGAGGGTGATGAGTCAGAGAAGGCTCCCAGAGGGTGAGAATTAAATGGGGAAGAATGTGGACATCACAGGCTATGAGAAATGTCACCACTTCAAGTTTTACCCTCCTTCCAAGACCCATTACCTCCAGAGCTCAGGGGAAACAGCTTTACCAGAGGGAGTCACACCCACACTCCACACACTGAGGTCCTCCGATGCTAATTGGCAGTCTGTTAATTAGCCTCATTAGCACAGCTAAGTGCCTCTCCTCTGGGGGAGTCATTACCTTGTTAACAGTCTGGAGTGGGGCAGGGAGGAAGCAGGGCAACCACGTAGGAGCTGGATGGGTTATGTGTTTCTGCCCAAGCCCTTTTTGTTTTCTCTCTAGTTTGATCAAGCAGTAGGAAGAAGTGTCTTCCTTTGTCCTGACTATTTCCCTTGTCTGAGAGTATGGAGTACACAGTCAACCCTCAGGGAGTGGGAAACATGAGCCCTTGTCCCAACCCTGCCAAGTAGGCAAGTTACTCATTTTCTGCCCCGGAATATTAGAAACTCTCTGGTCTATTCTAGCCCTGACATTCTATAGTTTAGTTAAAATCAGTCCTTCGGGTCCTCCCTATTTTAAACTCCTATCTTAAAGGAAAATTCCTATTGAGTAAAAAAAAAAGCTTTACACAGGGTCTTATTGTCTTATTTTCAACAATCTTCAGTAACTATCATTACTGTAGAGTAATACTAACAATAAGTTCGAGGGAAGGTAAAGAAGCATTTTTTAAGTGCCTACTTAATGCCAATTAGTATGTGCTAAAAGCAAAAAATTATCTCATTTGATCCTCAGAACATCTCTGAAGTAGGTGCTATTATTATGTCCGTTTTACAGTTGAGGAAATGGAAATTAACCTTTGTTAATGATTTTCTATTGTGTACATAGGGTGTATTTTCAGGAGTTGTTCCCCCACATATAGCCCGGATGTATAGTGTGATGAGATAGGAGACAGAAAGGACATTTCTAGCTTCTTCTTCATTCCTAGACCCTCTCAACCTTTCTTCAAGGGAGACTGTGATTCCTGCCAGGAGGAGGAACAGGAAGTTGGGGCAGGAGGCCATTCTGCTTTATCTGCTCCTTAAACATCATTAATCTATGGAATATAATCATGTTCAATCTAACTTCTGATTGCTGTGTTATGATAGGGGGGAAGCAAGACCTCAAGTTCTATATCCAAGGCTTGACTCCTTGCCCACCAAATACCAGTTCATGAACACAAATAATGAATAGCAAAAAACAAACAAACAAACCCCCAAAACTCATTTATACAAATTGATAGGAAAAAAAACAAATCAGAGGTGTACATACCATATATATGTATATGTGTGTGTGTGTGTGTGTGTGTGTGTGTGTGTGTGTATACATATAGGTGTGTATGTGTGTATATACACACACACACACACACACACACACACACATACATCAAAGGAGGATATATACCAGACAATACAGAGTGAGGGAGTTCCCCCATTGGGATTGAGATAACCCAGCCAAGATAGAAGATTCCAGGGGCAGCTAGGTGGCAAAGTGGATAGAGCACTGGCCTTGGAGCCAGAAGGACCAAGTTCAAATGTGGCCTCAGACACTTGACACTTATTACCTGTGTGACCCTGGGCAAGTCACTTAACCCCATTGCCTAGCCAAAAACCCAACCAACCAAACAAAAAAAGATAGAGGATTCCTCTAAGGGGAAACTCCCAGAAGTCTCTAGTGGAGCAAGCCAGGGGTACTTTTACAATGGAGACTGCCAGTTCTTCTGAGGTTGGCTTCCTCCCAGAGTCTTTTCATTCAGCAGCCTGAAGTGGGGTTGGCCTCTTCCATTTTTCCTCTTCAAGCTAGAAACCAGAAGTGTGAAGATCTGAAGAAAACTGAAGCTCTCTCCTTCTTTCCTCTCTGCAAACTGCCCCCATCTTTCCTGAAGGAGGAGGCATTCAGTGAGGAGGGAGTCCCACAACAATGACCTTGGGGAAAGGGTTTGGACTTGTTTGCTTGTTGTCGTCCCCTTTAGTGATTTCCTTTAGGGCTAGGACTTGTATTTTGCCTTTCTTTGTATTCCCAACACTTGGCTCTATGTAACATAGTAGGCACTTAATAAATGCTTATTGACTGACTAAGGCAGACAAAGGGGAAGTGACTTACCCAAGGGTACACAACTATACATATCTGAGGTCACATTTGAACTCGGGGCTTTCTCACTCCAGGGCCAGTGCTTCTTCCACCATATACCTAGGGAAGTCAACAAACAATAGTTTAAGAAACAATAAAGTGGGATAGCTAAGTGGAGAAGGGGATAAAACATCTCCCTGGAGTCAAGAGGACTTGAGTTCAAATCACACAACTGTGTGACCCTGGGCAAGCCAACCCCAATTATCTGTCAAAAAAAAGAAACAATAAGTCCTAATATATACAAGGCACAATATGCTGGGCCTTCCTTGCCCTTAAGGAATATTCTTTCATGCTTGTCCTCCTTCAATTCAAAGTATCAGGTATTTATCAATTTATTGAATTTTTTCATTAATTTTTTTTTAGTTTTCAACAATCACTTCCATATACTTTTGAGTTTTAAATTTTTCTCTTCTTCCCTCCCCACCTCCCTCCCCAAGATGGTGTGCAATCTGATATAGGCTATACATATACATTCCTATTAAACATATTTTCACATTAGTCAGGTTGTAAGGAAGAATTAGAACCGATAGAAGGTTCTAGAAGAATCTCAAGAAAGAGGAAACAAAACAAAATAAGAAAAAAAAAGAGCAAATAGTATACTTCAATCTGCATTCAAACTCCATAGCTCTTTCTTTGGATGTAGATAGCATTTTCCATCATGAGACTTTTCAAGATGTCTTAGATCCTTGCATTGCTGAGAAGAGCTGTCTATCAATATTAGTCATCGAACAATATGGTTGTTACTGTGCACAATATTCTTCTGGTTCTGCTTACTTCACTCAGCATCAGTCCATACAAGCCTTTCCAGGATTTTTCTGAAGTCTGCTTGTTCATCATTGCTTACAGCACAATAGTATTCCATTATATTCATATACCACAACTGGTTCAGCCATTCCCCAATAAATGGGCTTCCCCTCAGTTTCCAATTCTTTGCCACCACAGAAAGAGTTGCTACAAATATTTTTGTACATGTGGGTCCTTTTCCCATTTTTATGATCTCTTTGGGATACAGCCCTAGGAGTGCTCTTGCTGGATCAAAGGGTATGCACATTTTTTATAGCCCTTTGGGCATAGTTCCAAATTGCTCTCCAGAATGGTTGCATCACTTCACAACTCCATCAACAATGAATTAGTGTTCCAATTTTCCAAAGTCTTCTCCAACATTTATCATTTTCCTGTTTTGTCATGTTGGCCAATCTGATAGGTATGATGTGGCACCTCAAAGTTGTTTTGTTATGCATTACTCTAATCAACAGTGATTAGAACATTTTTTCATGACTATAGATGGCTTTAATTTCTTCATCTGAAAACTGCCTGTTCATATCCTTTGACCATTTATCAACTGGGGAATGACTTGTATTCTTATAAATTTGACTTAGTTCTCTATATATTTTAGAAATGAGGTCCTTATCAGAGATACTGCTTATAAAAATTCTTTCCCTGTTTTCTGCTTCCCTCCTAATCTTGGTTGCATTGGCTTTGTTTATGCAAAAATTTTTCAATTTGATATAATCAAAATTTTCCAGTTTGTATTTCATAATGTTCTCCGTCTCCTGTTTGGTCATAAATTCTTCTGTTCTCCATAAATCTGACAGGTGAACTATTCCTTGCTCTCCCAGTTTGCTTATAGTATCAGCCTTTATATCTAAATCATGAACCCATTTTGACTTTATTTTAGTATGTGCTGTAAGATTTTGGTCTATGTCCAGTTTCTGCCATACTCTTTTCCAGTTTTCCCAGAAGTTTTTGTCAAATAGTGAGTTCTTATCCCTGAAGCTGGGTCTTTGGGTTTGTCAAATAGTAGATTACTATAGTCATTGACTACTGTGTCTTACATGCCTAACCTATTGCACTGATCCACCACTCTCTTTCTTAGCCAGTACCAAGTACTTTTGATGATTTCTACTTTATAATACAATTTAAGATCTGGAACAGCTAGGCTACCTTCCCCTGCATTTCTTTTCATTAGTCCCCTTGATATTCTGGACCTTTTGCTATTCCAAATGAATCTTGTTATTATTTTTTCTAGCTCTATAAAATAATTTTTTGGTAGTTTGATTGGTATGGCACTGAATAAGTAAATTAGCTTAGGTAGAATTGTCATTTTTATTTTATTAGCTTGGCCTACCCATGAGCAACTGATGTTTTTCCA